CACCGGCCAAAGACCCATGCCCTGGTCTTACGACCACAAAAAGAAGACTACCTAACGGGTACGATCTATAGCTACAGGGATAACCGTTCGACGGCTAGTACAACTCACATAGAAGGCTACATGGTTCACATGCATACATTAATCATGCCACAAGCAGTCGTTGACTACATTTACGACATAGCAATTTAAATAAAACCCACCTAGTTACAGAAATGGTAGATTCACACAAAGCAAGCAATTACGTTGAGGATTCAGCTTGTGGAACCTACATTTATCAAGATAGCCCTATAAATAACTACCCGACACATGAACACATATATAGCAACATTCACTAGATTCAACACAGCTCATATAGGTCATATAAGCACGCATTTAGAAAGTAAACTCTATTTCCGAACATACAACATAAGTTTTCAAAACTTAACCCGCGCAGAGATTTTAAAACAAACATAACTTGCAGCACACATGTTATATAAATATGATTCCAGTTGCAAATGATTCCTAAGACATGCAGTTACAACTCTTATGAAGACCTCGATAACGGAATAAGGTCATTTACCAGGAGATAACAAATATTTATAACAGAGTTGCAGTCAGAAAACTGAAATTCTATACATACAGAGCTTCAATAATTATCACATAACTCATGCTACAGACCTCCAAATGACATGATTCTAAAACCAACAGACATGTAAGCAGTTAGGCTATAACTTTTATGGAGACATGAATGTCAAATAAGGGCATTTGATTATAGATTATTCATTATACATTGGAACATGATTGACTTGATTCAAAAACTAACAGGAAGCTAACACATGAGGCTACATATTTCATGAAAACCACTTTTCAGTTTGAGCGCATAAAACTATCAAAAACATGCAAAACATTTAATATATTCATGCTGTCGGGTTTACAGAAAACTACTTGCACCATTATTTTATAAAAATCATATCTCACTCAATTTAAATCGGATTTTCAAAATTCCAAATCCCACTGAAAGCAAACAGGATAAACTACAATTTATATAAAAAACACGTTTTCAGAAAACGAGTTCTTGATAGTAATAACAGGGGCACAATAGAGACCTTAAAAATGAGATTAATCATGAAATATCCACATCATGCGACTATCCCCAAGACAACATTTAATGAGCACATATACGTCTTCATATCAATTATAACAAGTGGAGGG